TCCCAGCACTTAGGGAAGCAGAGATAGGCAGATCATGTGAGGTCAGCAGCTTGAGGCCAGCCTGGCCAATGTAGTGAAACCTTGTCTTTACTAAAAATACAACAATTAGCCAGTACTTGGGAGGCTGAAGAAAAGGAGGCAGGAGAATTGCTGCAACCCGGGAGGCAGAGGTTGGAGTGAGCCAAGATCGCACCACTGTACTCCAGCCTGGGCGACAGAGTATGATGACTCCATTTCAAAAGAGAGAGAGAATTAACCTCCCTTCTTTATGCACAGAGGGCCACAGCAAGAATGGAGGAATTAGGGGTGTTAAATCTTGTGTGAGTGTGAAAGGGGGGAACCATGTGACGGGAAAGAACTGAGTGATTCCTCTGGTTGACTCTGAGAACTTCCTCTTCCTTTACAAGCTGGCTCTGAAGCACCGTCAGGGCAAGAATCACAAGATGCGCATCATTGCCTTTGTGGGAAGCCCAGTGGAGGACAATGAGAAGGATGTGAGTCCAAGTGGCAGCTGGGGAATGTGGGCAGCCCGTGTTTGGGACAGGTCTTTCAGCCCTCAGGAGAACCTGGCAGAGGCATCAGGCTCATCACTTTGGGGAAAGGTGAATGTGCAGAATTCAGTGATTCTGTTTGAGGAACTTGGGGAGGTCAATAGATTTCTGTATGCTTTTATGAAGTGGGTCCTTTACCCCCTCGAGTATGAACAGATTTCTTGATTTTTCTCCCCTTTTTCCCAGCTGGTGAAACTGGCTAAACGCCTCAAGAAGGAGAAAGTAAATGTTGACATTATCAATTTTGGGGAAGAGGTGAGTAGGGATTGATTGGAGGGGATTGGCTTAATTTGGTTATAAACAGAATGATCCTTAACCCTTAGGAGTGCATGCACTGTGGCAAAGTAGTGCAGAAATGGCAAAGAACAGGGAGCAAGGCCTGAAGGAGGGCGTCATGTGTTCTTTCCTCCCCAGGAGGTGAACACAGAAAAGCTGACAGCCTTTGTAAACACGTTGAATGGCAAAGATGGAACCGGTTCTCATCTGGTGACAGTACCTCCTGGGCCCAGCTTGGCTGATGCTCTCATCAGTTCTCCGATTTTGGCTGGTGAAGGTGGTGCCATGCTGGGTCTCGGTGCCAGTGACTTTGAATTTGGAGTAGATCCCAGTGCGGATCCCGAGCTGGCCTTGGTGAGCAAATGTTGACCCCAGGTGGAGCCCAAAGGTCCTTCTTTGTTCTCCTCTTCTGGCACACACATCACAGAGCTTCTGCCAGGCTAAACAGTCCTAGACATTCCCAGTCACTCATTTTCCAAGACTTCCTTTTGCCCCCTCTTCCCTATAATTCTGTCTGATCTCTAGGGGCACCAATGTCAGACTCTTTCTTGTTCACTCTCCAGATTAAAACCCAGGCTTCTCCTGAGTCTTTACTTTTTAATCCCATACCACTGCTTATCCTTCCAGCTTCTTTGTGTGATACACCAGAAGCTGCCCCTTTATGTTCCTTTCCCACACCCCAGCTGACTTTCCCAGCTCCCTGTCAGAGTGAGGGCAGGGGAGCGCTGATTGTGCCCTGCCCTTCGCCAGGCCCTTCGTGTGTCTATGGAAGAGCAGCGGCAGCGGCAGGAGGAGGAGGCCCGGCGGGCAGCTGCAGCTTCTGCTGCTGAGGCCGGGATTGCTACGACTGGGACTGAAGGTGAAAGAGGTGGAATCTGAAGTCCTGGGACTGCAGCATGCTAAACATTGAAAGCTAGGTGTAGGCCCTGCAGGGAGAGTGTGGAGGACTGACAGGGTAGGAAGATGTGGGAGGGCCGGGCTAAGGGAATGACTTTGGAGGCTGGCCTGTGTGCATATGGCACCAATTCTACCCTGCTCCTCTTTTCCTTTTCCCAGACTCAGACGATGCCCTGCTGAAGATGACCATTAGCCAGCAAGAGTTCGGCCGCACTGGGCTTCCTGACCTCAGCAGTATGACTGAGGAAGAGCAGATTGCTTATGCCATGCAGATGTCCCTGCAGGGAGCAGGTGAGCCAGAGCCTGCATGGCGCCTAGGCAGAGGGTGGGGTGAGGAAGTGGAACTGAACAGACTGACCTCTCTTCCTCAGAGTTTGGCCAGGCGGAATCAGCAGACATTGATGCCAGCTCAGCCATGGACACATCTGAGCCAGCCAAGGTGAGAGCCATCCCTGCCCATGTCAGGTTTAAAGTCCTTGAATTTAGATCCTCATCCCTCTGGGGCTGGGAGCATTTCACCATAGCTAAGTCCTTTGAGGAGCAGAGGAAAACACATGGTTATGCATTTCTTACACGTAAACCTTGCTAAGGTAGCAGTGCTAGTGGTCAGAGTTGGAGAAATGTCCTCATGTTCGGTAATTTTCCTTCCTTGCTGGTGGGAACAGCCTGGGCAGTTCTCTAGGATGTCTTTCCAGGAGGGAGAAAAGAGGGTCTGGGAAAAAGAAAAAGGAGGACTGCGTGTCATGAGAGCAGGAAACCTGAATGTGATGGCATGTTTTCCTCCTCAGAGCTCAATTAGCAGAGTTCTCAGCAGGCCCCTCCTCTGTTTGGTTAGTAATAACTGTTTGCGTTCATGCTGTATTTAGGATTTTGCTGACTTGTCCTTTCCTTAGCCTCGGCCAGAGGTGCCCATGTCCCCACACAGTCAGAAGGCAGCGGGGGCTTAGGCAGTGGCGTGCTCCTGGCCTTCACACCTGCTTATTCCCTTACGCTCCACACCCTGCCCTGAGCTCACACTGCCTGTTTGCAGGAGGAGGATGATTACGATGTGATGCAGGACCCCGAGTTCCTTCAGAGTGTTCTAGAGAACCTCCCAGGTGTGGATCCCAACAATGAAGCCATTCGAAATGCTATGGGCTCCCTGGCCTCCCAGGCCACCAAGGACGGCAAGAAGGACAAGAAGGAGGAAGACAAGAAGTGAGACTAAAGGGAAGGGGCAGCTGAGCCTGCTCAGGGGACTGCATGGGAGGCACGGAATACAAGGTTAGCTAAGTATTACCTGTAACCATTACAGCCTAAATAAAGCTTGGCAAGTTTTTTTCCTTTTTTGCTTCAGATAGTGATGGTTTTGATTGCAAGAGGTGAAGAATCCATGACTTGAAGGAGAGCCCTCCTTTTTGAGTTCTCCATGTCTCTGCTTCCACCTGCCTGGGCCTCCTAAAGTGCTGGGATTACAGGCCCAGGAGCTGTGCTTCCATTTCTAATGAGTGAAGACCTCATTTAAACCACCTTCTTGCCAATAACTTTTACTCTGCACTCACACAGCTAAACCCCAAGTGTAGATTGGAACTCAACCTTTTCAGTTTTTTTCATGTAGACTTCTAAGGTTCAGCAAGTTTAGGTTATTTGGTCAAGGATATTTAGCTAATGAAGAGACAGAACCAGGATCAAAATCCAGACCTGTCTCAAACCTGTCTCACCAGGAGCTGAGTCACCATCAAACAGTAGTTTCCCATTGCTCAGCTGCCTTCAGTGACCCTGGTCAGCCCTGCAAGTCAGTTTCCTGTAGCAGCTACTCTACCTTCTTCTACTCCCCCATCATTCAACAGAAGCCTGACATCTTTACAGAGAGTCAAGGCCATGAGGCAGGAAGCTCTGGCCCCCTTCCCTTGGCCAGCACCTCCTTGCATCAGTTATGCTGTCTCCCAAACCTCTGCTGTCCTGAACACTCTGCTGATGTTTTCCTCTCAGTGTACACGCATCAGGTCCACTCTCCAAGTAACCTTAACTTGAGACTTTATATAGTACTGTTTAAATATTATTTCATAAGGAACATCTATTTCCTTTATAATTAAAAAAAAAAGTTTGTTTTAAATAGAGATGGGGTTTCACTATGTTGGCCAGGCTGATCTTGAACTTGGGACCTCAGGTGATCCACCCACCTCAGTCTCCCAAAATGCTGGCATTATAGGCATGAGCCACCATGCCCGGCCATTTCTTTCTTTCTTTTTTTTTTTTTTTAGACAAAGTCTGTGCTCTGTCACCCAGTGGTATGATCATAGCTAACTGTAGCCTCAACCTCCTGGCCTAAAGAATCCTCCTGCCTCAGCCTCCTGAATAGCTGGGACTAAGGCACACACTACCACACCCAGCTAATTTTTTTGAGACGGAGTCTTACTCTGTCCCCCAGGCTAGAGTGCAGTGGTGCTGTCTTGGCTCATTGCAACCTCCGCCTCCCAGGCTCAAGCGATTCTCGTTCGCCTCCCAAATAGCTGGGACTACAGGTGTGTACCACCATGCAGGGCCAATTTTTAATTTTTTTGTAGAGATGGGGTCTGTCTTTCCCAGGCTGGTCTTGACCTCCTGGGCTCAAGCAGTCCTCCCACCTTGGCCTCCCAAAGTGCTAGGATTATAGGTATAAGCCACTATGCCTAGCCTATATAGTTTGAAAAGTCAGACTTATAATAAAAATTGGTAGGGTCCTGCCCCATCCCTCTGCATTTTCGAAGTCTACTCCCAGAAGTAATCAATTTTAACTTCTTCAGCTCTTTCTGTACGTACTTACTTATTGCCAAAGAATGAATTTATATGGCTGTTTCTTAATTTTTCCTTTTCTTCTTTTTTTTTTTTTTTTGAGACAGAGTTTCACTCTTGTTACCCAGGCTGGAGTGCAATGGCGCGATCTCGGCTCACCGCAACCTCCGCCTCCTGGGTTCAGGCAATTCTCCTGCCTCAGCCTCCTGAGCAGCTGGGATTACAGGCACGCACCACCATGCCCAGCTAATTTTTGTATTTTTAGTAGAGACGGGGTTTCACCATGTTGACCAGGATGGTCTCGATCTCTTGACCTCGTGATCCACCTGCCTCAGCCTCCCAAAGTGCTGGGATTACAGGCTTGAGCCACCGCGCCCGGCCATTTCTTCTTCTTTTTTTTTTTTTGAGACAGTTTTGCACTTTGATTGCCCAGACTGGAGTGCAATAGCACAATCTCAGCTCACTGCACCCTCCACCTTCCAGGTTCAAGCATTCTTGTACCTCAGCCTCCCAAGTAGCTGGGACTACAGGCATATGCTGCCGTGCCTGGCTAATTTTTGTATTTTTAGTAGAGACGGGGTTTCACCATGTTGGCCAGGATGGTCTCCATCTCTTGACCTCGTGATCTACCTGCCTTGACCTCCCAAAGTGCTGAGATTACACGCGTGAGCCACTGCGGCTGGCATGGAATCTTTGTTGTTGAGACAGGGTCTGGTTTTGTCTTCCAAGCTGCAATGCAGTGGCAGGAACATGGCTTAGGCTCACTACTGCCACTATCTCTGAGACTCAAGCAGTCTTCTTGCCTCACTATCACAAGTATCTGGGATTACAGGTGCATGCCAGGCTGGTTTTTATATTTTTTGTAGAGATAGGGTTTCACCACGCTGCCCAGTCTCCTGACTAAGCAATCCGCTCACCTTGCTTGGCCTGCCAAAGTGCTGGGGTTACAGGCATGAGCCACCTTGTCCATGGCCTGGATGCTAGTTTTCAGGGGGTATTACTAAGAAACCAGGGCTGGGTGTGGTAGCTCATGCTTGTAATCCTAGCACTTTGGGAGGCTAAGGTGGAAGCATCACTTGAGCTCAGGAGTTCAAGACCAGCCTGGCCAATATGGCAAGACCCCATTCCCCCAAATTTTATTAATTAAAAAAAAAAAAAAAGCTGGCTGTAGTGCAGTGCATCTATAGTTCCACCTGCTCAGGAGGCTGAGGTGGGAGTATCACTTGAGCCCAGGGATCCAGGCTGCAATGAGCTATGATCACGTTACTGTACTCTGGCCTAGGCAACAGAGCAAGACTGTCTCAAAAAACAAAAGAAAAAAAAAGCATCCTGTTTTTGTATCATGGGTGCAATATCTTCTCATAGATATATATATATTTTTTGAGACGGAGTTTCCCTCTGTTGCCCAGGCAGGAGTATGGTGGTGCAATCTTGGCACACTGCAACCTCTGCCTCCTAGGTTCAAAAGATTCTCCTGCCTCACCCCCCGAGTACCTAGGATTATAGGCGTCCGCAACCTCGCCTGGCTACTTTTTTTGTATGTTTAGTAGAGATGGGGTTTTACCATCTTGGTCAGGCTGGTCGAGAACTCCTGACCTGAGGTGATCCGCCCGCCTCAGCCTCCCAAAGTGCTGGGATTACAGGCGTGAGCCACCGTACCTGGCCCATCTTCTCTTATATTTCTAAGGATAGTGATTACAGTTTTGGGATATTTTCTTCTGGTCCCTTCATTATCTGTTACTCTCTTGGCTCCTCCTCTTTTGGCTTCTGTCATTTATGTTGGAGGCTGCCTTCAACTCTCAGATGATCCTTGGCTGTCTGTCCCCACTTAAGAGAGAGCTGCCTGGGAACTCCATGGGTGGGGTGGGTAGAGACTGTCAGATATGGGCCTCCCTGGGAGTAGGAAGAGAGGGAGCAGCCTTGGAGTTCCTGTCGGCTTCTTCTCCTGAGTTAGTCATTATCTCCAAAAGGGAATTTTCCAGTCCTCCTTCCGCTGCTTTTAGAGGACCAAGGACTTTTCTGTTTTTGAGCCTTTTGGGCTCTAAGACTTATTTTGTTCTTTGTTGGCTCTTCGCTCCTTACATCATGAGTAGAATGGAAAAAAATTCCCAAACTTGGCCAGGCCTGGTGGCTTACGCCTATAATCCCAGCACTTTGGGAGGCTGAGGCGGGTGGATCATGAGGTCAAGAGATCGAGACCATCCTGGTCAACATGGTGAAACCCCGTCTCTGCTAAAAATACAAAAATTAGCTGGGCATGGTGGTACACACCTGTAGTCCCAACTACTCAGGAGGCTGAGGCAGGAGAATTGCCTGAACCCAGGAGGCGGAGGTTGCGGTGAGCCGAGATCACGCCATTGCACTTCGGCCTGGGTAACGAGCGAAACTCCATCAAAAAAATCCCCAAACTTAAATCAGTCATCCTGCACATTTGGTTTTCCATTTATCAAACTAAATCTCTCATTTGCTCTCGTCTTCTCTTTGCCCTTGTGCTTTTTCATGTCTTTTTTTTTGAGACAGGGTCTCACTTTGTTGCCCAGGCTGGAGCACAGTTTCGTGATCATGGCTCACTGCAGCCCTGGCCTCCCAGGCTCAGGTGATCCTCCCACTGTAGCCTCCCCAGTAGCTGGGACTATAGGCACGTGCCACCATGCCTGACCTTTTTCACGTCTTTACTCTCAATTTGATGTGGTTTCTAGGGTGAGCAGAGATAAGCTCAATTCACCACATGTAACTAGAAGCTCTTCTGTAAGTTCAGTTACCTAATTCCTCTAACTCATAAGGTGGTTGTGAAAATTAAAGGTGATTATGTGTGTGTAACAAGATGTTGAAAGATTTTTCTGGTTGTGTTGGAGTCTGAACTGAGTCTTAAGGACAGAAGTGCATACAGGTGCCCCCGCATTGTAGAAAAATACTTCTCTGGCCATGCAGAGGACAGCACAACTCCTCCAGCTGCCATGGCCCCCACTGCCACCTGCAGCCTCTATGAGATGACACATTGACACAGGAAAGAGCACTCTTGTGGACCTGGAGCTGTTGTTGATGCTCATCCGTCTGGAATGCTTTGATATTCCTACTTTCTTGTTCTTTAGGCGTGAGGGGAAGTCACAGGCTAAGGTAGGACAGCACCAGGAGAGTGGGAGTGCCTGCAAGAAACAGATGGGCATCTGAGTCCTTGGCTGGATGTTTCCTGGGTGGCAGAACTCCTGACCCAGCATCGTCAAAGACCACAAACAAGTCACTGAACAAGCGCTCTGGAAGAGCCTGACATGCATTTACTGGTATTTGGGAGATGTAAATGAACATAGAGACAAATGTCTGCTGACAGCTTGGTGACTGTGGGAGGCTGGCTGGAGCCCAGACCTAGAACGGTGGCACTAGTGGGTAGGCTTTACTTTCAGCACCTGGCATGCTAAGAATGTGGGAGTTTCCCATGGGCCAAGAGGATAGCATGGAAAGTACCCAAGCTTGAGCCATCCAGATGGAACCTGCCCAAGAGGAGTTCCTACAGGGCAAGAAGATGCCAGTGGTAAGATGCCATGGGGCAAAAGGGCAGAGTACTATGCAAGAGGTCGGCTGGAGAGTGCACTGCAGATGCCAGAGAAAGGGGCAGTGGAGAGGTCCCTGTAGGTCTCCTAGGAACCCTCAAATATGCCCCACCCAAGAGAAAGCCAGCATTTAGGTACATGTCACACAGAGGGCTCTGTGAGCCCCTGTCATGTAAAATTGACTCCTTTCCTTCCTGGTACCTTCTCAACTCTGGAGAAGCCAGAAGCAGGAAGGGAAGGGAAGGTGAAAGAAGGGCAACAGGCCAAGTGCAGTGGCTCATGCCTGTAATCCCAGCACATTGGGAGGCCAAGGCGGGGAGATCACCTGAGGTCAGGAGTTCGAGGCCAGCCTGGCCAACATGGTGAAACCCCTTCTCTACTATAAATATAAAAATTAGTCAGTCTTGGTGGTGGGCACCTGTAATCCCAGCTACTCAGGAGGCTGAGGCAGAAAAATTGCTTGAACCCAGGAGACCGAGTTTTCAGTGAGTCGACATGATGCCATTGCACTCCAGCCTGCGCAACAGAGTGAGACTCAGTCTCAAAAAAAAAAAAGGAAGAAGAAAAGCAACAAGTCCGGGTATGGCTCACACCTGTTACCCCAGCATTTTTGGAAGCCAAGGCAGGAGGATCATTTGAGCTGAAGAGTTTGAGACCAGCCTGGGTGACAAAGTGAGACCTCCACCCATCTCTTAAAAAGCAAAAAACTGGGCGCAGTGGCTCATGCCTGTAATCCTAGCACTTTGGGAGGCCAAGGCGGCCAGATCACCTGTGAGGTCAGGAGTTCAAGACCAGCCTGACCAACATCGAGAAACCCCGTCTCTACTAAAAATACAAAATTGTCCGGGCATGTTGGTGCATCCCTGTAATCCCAGCTACTCAGGAGGCTGAGGCAGGAGAATTGCTTGAACCTGGGAGGTGGAGGTTGTGGTGAACCAAGATCTCACCATTGCACTCCAGCCTGGGCAACAAGAGTGAAACTCCGTAAAATGCACACGCTTATGCTCACGCCTGTAATCCCAGCATTTTGGGAGGCCAAGATGGGTGGATCACCTGAGGTCAGGAGATGGAGACCCGTCTGGCCAACATGGCAAAACCCCATCTTTACTAAAAATACAAAAATTAGCCGGGCATGGTGGGTCGTGCCTGTAGTCCCAGCTACTTGGGAGGGTGAGGCAGGAGAATTGCCTGAATCTGGGAGGCAGTGGTTGCAGTGAACCAAGATCACACCACTGCACTCCGGCCTGGGTGACAGAGCAAGATTCTGTCTCACAAAAAAAAAAAAAGAAATACAAGGGTTCTTTTATTAAGGTGAAGCAAGAACGGCAGGGAACAAACCTCTCCAACACAGAACTGAGGAAGGAAGTGGCTTTTTATTTGGCTGGGAGCTGAGGGGGGGCTACAGCCTCATTCACCGAGCTCCGCAAGCCGCAGCTTCTCCCTTTTTATAGGCTTACGACGATAAAGGGGAAACTGAGGCAGAACTATGTCATTGTCCATGTGCTGGAAGTCCAACCTTACAATCTTTGGCTTCACTGATTTGCTAATTCATATGCAGCATGAGTGAGGACCAGCAGGAGAGGGGGCTTACGGAGACAAGACAAAAGCAACAAGCTGTTTGTTGGCAGAGGTATTCCCAGGAGGCAGCCTGGTCCGGGGAGACCCACCTGGGGGTGTGACCCAGTGCCAGGCTCCAGCCGGCAGGGATAACATTCATTTGCAGCTCTTTGAAGGTTAGCAAATAGCAGAGACGCTGGGAACTAAAAAGGGCGTTATTTTCCCAACTCTTTGGTATTTTATTGTATTTATTTTTTCCTTTAGCCTCCTTCCTGTCTGGAAGCCAGGGAGGGAGAAGGTGAAATAGAAGGAGGTGAGGAAGTCTCCCCTCTCAAAGGAAGAAGAGAATAGCTTTTCTTAGTAACTACCAGACTCTGGAGCAGCACATCCCTTCAGCTACTCAAGGTCTCTCTATTGGTTCCTCACGTGGCTGTTTGTGGTTCAGCAACCTGTAAACCAAAGACAGGTTATCAGCTCTCAACACACCTGATACACAGTAGGAAGACCACAATCAAAATTCCCATTTGTGAAAACAGCACAGGAGACAGCCCATTGAGAGGTGGGGCCCGTGTTCCATCCTTGGACCTCAAGGTGCCTGCGCTTGGTTGACCAACTGAATGTGGCAGAAGGGATGCTTTGTAACTTCTGAGGTTAGGGCCTGAAAGGTGATGCAGCTTCTGCCTTGTTTTCTGGAACGATTATGATGGGACCTTGGACATGTCAGCACTCCAACTGCCCTAAAGCTAGCATCTTGTGAGGAAGCCCAAATCAGCCACATGCAGGGGACGGGGAAGTGGCCATTAAGTAGCCCTGAGAATATACAAAAATAGTGAGATCCATTTGACAACAAACCAGTAAAAAAAAAAAAACAAGAAGGCTAACACCTTTTTCGGCCTTAGACCACCTGCACCCAGGAAATTTAAAAAAAAAAAAATGTGGCCGGGCGCGGTGGCTCAAGCCTGTAATCCCAGCACTTTGGGAGGCCAAGGCGGGTGGATCACAAGGTCAAGAGATCGAGACCATCCTGGTCAACATGGTGAAGCCCCGTCTCTACTAAAAATACAAAAAATTATCTGGGCATGGTGGTGCGTGCCTGTAATCCCAGCTACTCAGGAGGCTGAGGCAGGAGAATTGCCTGAACCCAGGAGGCGGAGGTTGTGGTGAGCCGAGATCGCGCCATTGCACTCCAGCCTGGGTAACAAGAGTGAAACTCCGTCTCAAAAAAAAAAAAAAAAAAAAGTGAGATCCAGTCAGCCACTGCCTGCTCCGGCTTTAGTCACTGCCTGCTTACGACCCCTGGGGCCAGATGCCTGGGGCCAGAGTGCCCAGTCAAGCCCTTTGGATCCATGGAAACAATAAGCGGTAATAAAATAATTGTTATTTTAAGCCACCAAATTTTGGGGTGATGCAGTTCACAGCATTAGATCACCAGAACAACAGTATGTAGCAAATCGGGGCGTGGGGGCGAGGATGACTTGCCCTGACAGAGGGGTGAATTGCTGGGTGAGCCTACTTGGTTTCCACTGGTTCTACCCCCGGGAAAATCAATCTTCATGGCCCTGGCTCTGCCCTCAGGTTGTTCCTTGTCCCTCAGCCCTCATGGCCCATCTGAGGACATTTCTGTGGTTAACACTCTCGTTAAAGGCTACACACCATTGGCAGCCACTTCCAGAGGGATGCATTTGGGATCCAAAATGTTTTAGTTTTGTGCGTGCGGCAGGTGTGGGGTTTTTTTTTTGTTAGTTTGTTTTGGTAACATAATTTCCTGAAATTGTAGCCATCCTGTCAGTTCTCAAGCATGAGTTACTGTAGTTAAAGGTCTTACATATATTATTAAGCCTAAAAACTTTCATATTTTGCATATTGGCCTCTGTGTTCGATAATCGTCCCCTAAATCTCGGATTAATGGTGGCTTGAAGGGGAAGACAACCGTGTTCATCTGATCTCTGCTGGTAGTCTTGCACCATTGCAGTGACAACACTTTTTAAAAATATCTGAGGTGGGGTCTTGCTTTGCTGCCCAGACTGGTCATGAACTCAAGGTAATTTGAATAATCTTCCCATCTCAGCATCAGGTGTGTGCCACCATGCCCATCAATCACAATGCTCTTACAGAAGATGCCTGAGAAAAGTTTGGGGCCACAGTGTTACCTCCTGCTGTTCAGCAGTTACCATCTTAATTGCTTCAGTTTTGGTTAGACAAACAGTTGGCCTTTTCAAGCCAGCAGTCTCCAAATAATAAAACTCTCAGTCAGCTTTTCTATTCTTGCTTTTCTGGGGTCTGGACCCTAAGCAGAGAGTGTATGCTTTGCTAGAGTAATATGTGTTATTTTCTTTTTTTTTTTTTTTTTTTTTTTTTTTTTTGAGACAGGGTCTGGAGTGCAGTGGCATGATCCTGGCTGACTCCAACCTCTGCCTTAGGGGCTCAAGTAATCCTCCCACCTCAGCCTCCTGAATAGCTGGGACAATAGGCACGTGCCGCCACACCCAGCTAATTTTTGTGTTTTTTGTAGATATGCGGTTTGCCATGTTGCCCAGGCTGGTCTCAAACCCCTGGGTTCAAGTGATCTGCCTGCCTCAGCCTCCCAAAGTTCTGGGATTACAGGCATGAGCCACTGCGTCCAGCCTTAACTGCTTTCTATGACACAGCAGGGAACTATCTGACTAAGTGCTTCGCAGGTACTAATGGTTGCCAGCTTTCCAGCCTGCGGTGAGTATATCCTTCGTAATAACCGCCTAACCCATTTCTCCTAAGCCAATGCTACTTTTTTTTTTTTTTTTTTGAGACAGGGTCTCACTTTGTTGCCCAGGCTGGAAAGCAGTGGCATAATCCCGGCTTACTGTAGCCTCTGCCTCCTAGGTTCAAGTGATCCTTCTGCCTCAGCCACCCAAGTGGCATGTGCCACCATGGCCAGCTAATTTTTCTATTTTTTAGTAGAGACAGGGTTTCACCACATTGCCCAGGCTGGTCTTGAACTCCTGAGCTCAGCCCCCTCTGCCTCCCAAAGTGCTGGGATTACAGACATGAGCCACATGCCTGACCTCTATTTTATTTTTTTCAGATAGGGTTTCACTCTGCCCCAGGGTTGGAGTGCAGTGGCAAGATCACAGCTTACCGCAACCTTGACCTCCCGGGCTTAAGCAGTCCTCTCACCTCAGCCTCCCAAGTAGCTGAGGCTCACAGGCATACACCACCATGCCTGGCTTATTGATTTCCTGTTTGCTTGCTTGCTTGCTTGATTGATTGACAGAGTCTAGCTCTGTTGCCCAGGCTGGAGTGCAGAGGCGAGATCTCAGCTTACTGCAACCTTTGCCTCCCAAGTTCAAGAGATTCTCCTGCCTCAGCCTCGAGTAGCTGGGATTACAGGTGCCTGCCACCACACCAAGCTAATTTTTTTTTTTTTTTTTTTAGTAGAGACGGGGTTTCATTGTGTTAGGCAGACTGGTCTTTAAATCCTGACTTGGTGATCTGGGCGCCTCAGCCCCTCAAAGTGAGTGCTAGGATTATAAGCGTGAGCCACCACACCCAGCCTTTTTTTTTTTTTTTTTTTGTGAGACCAAGTCTCACTCTCGCCCAGCCTGGAGTGCAGTGGCCAATATCTGCTCACTGCAACCTCTGGCTCCGAGGTTTAAGCCATTCTCCTGCCTCAGCCTGCCAAGTAGCTGGGACTACAGGCATTCGCCACCACGCCCAGCTAATTTTTGTATTTTTAGTAGAGATGGGGTTTCACCACGTTGGTCAAGATGGTCCCAGTCTCTTGACCTTGTGATCCGCCTGTCTTGGCCTCTCAAAGTGCTGGATTACAGGCAAAAGCCACTACGCCCCGCCTACTTTCTTGTCTTCTTTTGGACTGTTTTAGTTTTTTTTCCCCCTTTCATTTCTTTTTTTTCCTGTCTACTTGTTTGAAATTAACTTCTATTCTATTAGTATTTAAACTAAAAATTTTAGCATAAACATTGAATTTATTTATTTTTATTTTAAATATTTTAATTCTTTTAAAAAATTTGGCTGGATGTGGTGGCTCATGTCTGTAATCCCAGCACATTGGGAGGCCAAGGTGGGTGGATCACCTGAGGTTAGGAGTTCAAGACCAGCCTGGCCAACACAGTGAAACCCTGTCTCTACTAAAAATACAAAAAGTAGCTGGGTATGGTGATGGGCACCTGTAATCCCAGCTACTCAAGAGGCTGAGGCTGGGGAATCACTTGAACCTGGGAGGTGGAGGCTGCAGTGAGCCGAGATCTTGTCATTACACTCCAGCTTGGGCAACAAGAGCGAAACTCCGTCTCAAAATAAATAAATAAATAAATACAGGCCAGGCATGGTGGCTCACACCTGTAATCCCAGCACTTTGGGAGGCTGAGGTGGGTGGATCATGAGGTCAGGAGTTCAAGACCAGCCTGGCCAACATAGTGAAACCCCGTCTCTACTAAAAAATAAAAAAAAAATTAGCCAGGCACGGTGGCACATGTGTGTAGTCCTAGCTACCCGGGAGGCTGAGGCAGGAGAATTGCTTGGGGAGGTGAAAGTTGCATCAAGCCAAGATTTCGCCACTGCACTCCAGCTTGGGCAACAGAGTGAGACTTTGTCTCAAAAACACAAAAAAATTAGCCTGGTGGGCCCAGCATGGTGGCTTACTCCTATAATCCCAGCACTTTGGGAGGCCAAGGCGGGCAGATCATGAGATCAAGAGATTGAGACCATCCTGGCCAACATAGTGAAACCCTGTCTCTACTAAAAATATAAAAATTAGCTAGGTGTGGTGGCATGCACCTGTATTCCCAGCTACTTAGGAGGCTGAGGCAGGGGAATCACTTAAACCCGGGAGGTGGAGGTTGCAGTGAGCCAAGATTACGCCACTGTACTCAAGCCTGGCGACAGACTCCATCTTAAAAAAAAAAAAAAAAAAAAAAATTAGCCTGGTGTGGTGTCGAGGGCCTGTAATCCCATGGGAGGCTGAGGCAGGAGAATCCCTTGAAACCGGGGGGAGGCGGAGGTTGTGGTGAGCAGAGATCACACCATTGCACTCCAGCCTGGGCAACAAGAGCAAAATTCCGTCTCAAAAACAAAACAAAACAAAACAAAGAAGGAACAAATCAATCTGTACCTGGTTGTAATCAATTGGTTGTAAACATCACTGCACTTGGACCAACCTTAACTTTTTACTTTATAATCTTTTGCATTGATTTTTAACAGTGGAATATGAGGGCTCACCTGCTCCATCTACTCATCCTCCTTCACTCATTTCCCTCGTATAATTATATAAAAATGTGGGTTAAGGGACTATTCTCTTGATTATATAAATGAGTCACAGATGAGTCACTATGATACTTTTCCTTCCTTGAAATGCTTTTTTGGGCTGCGTGTGGTGGCTCAAGTCTGTAATCCCAGCACTTTGGGAGGCTGAGGTGAGTGGATCACTTGAGGGGAGTTTAAGACCAGCCTGGGACTGGGGAGGTGGGGGCAAGAAAAAGAAAAAGGACCAGCCTCGCCAACACGGTGAAACCCTGTCTCTACTAAAAATATAAAAACTAGCTGGGCGTGGTGGTGGGTGCCTCTGCAACCTCCGCCTCCTGGGTTCAAGTGATTCTCCTGCCTCAGTTTCAGGAGCAGCTGGGATTGCAGGCATGCACCACCACCATGCCAGCTAATTTTTGTATTTTTAGTAGTGATAGGGTTTCACCATTGTTGGTCAGGGGAGTCTCGAATTCCTGACCTCATGATCTGCCTGCCTTGGCCTCCCAAAGTGCTGAGATTACAGGTGTGAGCCACCACACCCAGCAACATCTTGCTTCTTGCCTGTGTGGGATCCTATTTCCCATATTTCATTGGATCTCAGTCTTGATATACTGTTTTACTTTTTGCTGAACCAAACCTCCAGTTTACTTTTACTCTTTCTTTTCCCTTTCTTTCTTTCCCTCCCTCTCTCTCTCTCTCTCTCTTTCTCTTTCTCTCTCTCCCTCTCTCCCTCTCTCTTTCTTTCTTTCTCTTTCCCTCCCTCCCTCCTTTCTTATACACAGTCTCACTCTGTATCCTGGCTCAATACAACCTCCTGAGTTCAAGTGATTCTCTGGCCTCAGCCTCCCTAGTAGCTGGGATTACAGGTGACTGCCACTACACCCAGCTAATTTTGTGTTTTTAGTGGACACGAGGTTTCGCCATGTTAGCCAGGCTGGTCTCAAACTCCCGGCCTCAGGTAATCCGCCTGCCTCAGCCTCCCAAAGTGCTGGAATTACAGGCGTGAGCCACTGTGCCTACCCGGTTCAAGAGATTCTCCTGCCTCAGCCTCCCATGTAGCTGGGACTACAGGCACACACCACCATGCCTGGCTAGTATTTTTTTTTTTTTTTTGTATTTTTAGTAGAGATGGGGTTTCACCATATTGGCCAAGCTGGTCTCGAACTCCTGACCTTGTGATCCGCCTGCCTCGCCACCCACAGTGCTAGATTATAGGTGTGAGCCACTGCTCCTGGCCATCCAAGCCTCTAGTTTTCTTTGAGAAGGTTATTCTAGCCCAACCTGCTCAGCAAATTTTTGTATTTTTTAGTAGAGACGGGGTTTCACTATGTTGGTCAGGCTGGTGTTGAACTCTTGACCTCAAGTAATCTCTCCAATCGGCCTCCCAAAGTGTTGGGGTTACAGGTGTGAGCTACCATGCCTGGCCAGATACTATCACTAGTGTCTCATACAAGCAATGTTGATTTAGCTTTACCCCCAAATTTGCTAATTTTTTTCACACCAAGTATTGCCTCACAAACCTTCATTCTGGGATAATTTTATTTTTCTAGAAGTAAATCCTATAGTTCTTTTATAGTTCTTTTTTTTTTTTTTTTTTTTTTGAGACAGAGTCTGTCACCCAGGCAGGCTGGATCACAGTAGCTCACTGTCATCTACAACCTCCACCTCCTGGGTTCAAGCGATTCTCCTGCCTCAGTCTCCTGAGTAGGTGGGAACTACAGGTGTGCACCACCACATGAAGCTAATTTTTTTTGTATTTTTAGTAGAGATGGGGTTTCGCCATGTTGGCCAGGCTGGTCTCAAACTCCTGGCCTCAAGTGATCCACCTGCCTCAGCCTCCCAAAAGTGCTAGGATTACAGGTGTGAGCCACCACACCAGGCCTAAATCTTAATAGTTTTTGTAGTGAAGATATGCTGGTAGTAAACTTTCTCAGCTTTGTTTGTGTAAAATGTCCTTGTTTCATCTTCATGTATAAATAGATATGGAATTCTGAATTGGTGAATATGTTCTCCACGCACATTGATGATATAATTTTACTGGGCTCTCACTTGCTGTACAGAAGTCAGATATCAATCGAACTGCTATTTCTTTTTTTTTCTTTTCTTCTTCTTTTTTTTTTTTTTTTTTGAGATGGAATCTTGCTCTGTCACCAGGCTGGAGAGCAGTGGCTTGATCTTGGCTCACTGCAACCTCCGCCTCCTAGGTTCAAGCAATTCTCCTGCCTCAGCCTCCTGAGTAGGTGGGACTACAGGTGTGTGCCACCACGCCTGGCTAACTTTTATATTTTTAGTAGAGATGAGGTTTCGCCATGTTGGCTAGGCTGGTCTCAAACTCCTAACCTCAGGTGATCCACCCACCTCAGCCTCCCAAAGTGCTGGGATTACAGGAGTGAGCCACCTTGCCTGGCCTCTAATTGCTGTTTCTTTGTAAGTCTTTTTTTTCCCCAGCTGATGGATGATTATAATATCTTATTTTTGTTTCTGATGTTCTACACTTTCAGTATAATGTATCTGGGTATAGATTTATTTTCATATGTCATACTTGGGCTTTGTTGGGATTCCTGAAACTGAGGATTAATGTCTCATCAATTTCAGAGTACCATTAGCCACTAACTCTTTTTTAAGAGTTGGAGTCTCACTCTGTTGCCCAGGCTGGAGCTCAGTGATGCCAGCCTGGTTCACTGCAGCCTCCAACTCCTGGGCTCAGCCTCTCGAGTAGCTGAGATTACAGGCGTATGCCACTGTGCTCTGCGTTTTTCTCTTTTGAAGTGATGTCAAACTTACATAAAAGTTGCAAGTGTAGTCCAAAAGACCTTTTTTTTTCCCCTGAATCATCTGAGGGTAAGTTGCCAACTTAATTGCTCGTTATCCCTGAATACTTTAGTGTACATTTCCTAGAAAAAAAGACATTCCATTACATAACTAGAAGACAATCATACAAATCAGAAAATTAACACGGTTATATTATTACCATCTAATCCTCAGATTTACCAACTAGAATCTCATGTTGCATTTAGTTGTCATGTCTTTCTAAAATCCTGTAGCCCAGAAGAGTTTCTGATCTTTCCCTGATTTTTATGACCCTGACATTTTATTTATTTATTTATTTTTGAGACAGAGTCTTGCTCTGTTGCCCAGGCTGGAGTGCAGTCGTACCATCTGGGCTCACTGAAACCTCCTGGGTTCAAGCTATTCTCTTGCTGAAGCGTCTCGAGTAGCTGGGATTACAAGCACCTGCCACCACACCTGGCTATTTTCTGTATTTTTAGCAGAGTCAGGGTTTCACCATGTTGGCCAGGCTGGTCTTGAACTCCTGACCTCGGACAATCCACCCGCATCAGCCTCCCAAAGTGCTGGGATTATAGGCATAAGCCATCTCGCCCAGCCAGACCCTGAACACTACACTTTAGAACATTACAGACTAGTTATGTATGTATGTATGTATGTATTTGTTTGTTTGTTTATGACAGAGTCCTGCTCTGTCACCCAGACTGGAGTGTAGTGGCACCATCTTGGTTCACTGCAACCTCTGCCTCCTGGGTTCACGTGATTTTCCTGGCTCAGCCTTTTGAGTAGCTGGGACTACAGGCGTGTGCCACCACGCTCATCTAATTTTTGTATTTTTAGTAGAGACGGGGTTTCACCACGTTATTCAGGCTGGTCTCAAACTCCTGACCTCAAGTGATCTGCCTGCCTCAGCCTCCCAGAGTGCTGGGATTATAGGCGTAAGCCAACATGCCTGACCCAGGCCAGTTATTTTGAATTGCCCCTCAATCTGGATTTGTCTGATGTTGGATTCAGGTTATGCATTGTTGGCAGGGATAGCACAGTGATGCTGTGTTATTCTCGTTGCGCTGTATCAGATGGCACACAGTTTTAATTTGTGGCATTTTTTCATAATAATAAGAGTTGAGTGATTACCTGGAGGTTCATTTTACTTTTCTGTTTACTTTTATGTGTTTGAAATTTTTCAGAATATTGAAATATTTTTTAAAATTGGAGCCGGGCATGGTGGCTCAAGCCTGTAATCCCAGCACTTTGGGAGGCCGAGGCGGGTGGATCACGAGGTCAAGAGATCGAGACCATCCTGGTCAACATGGTGAAACCCCGTCTCTACTAAAAATACAAAATATTAGCTGGGCATGGTGGTGCGTGCCTGTAATCCCAGCTACTCAGGAGGTTGAGGCAGGAGAATTGTCTGAACCCAGGAGGCGGAGGTTGCGGTGAGCCGAGATTGCGCCATTGCCTTCCAGCCTGGGTAACAAGAGTGAAACTCCGTCTCAAAAAAAATAAATAAATAAAATAAAATAAAATTGGAAGCAAAGATATTTAAAATATTTTACCTAGCATATTAAGACACACTGGTGCCAAGTGGGATTTCAATGATGTTCCAGTTACTATAATGCTGGGAAGAGATGATATATATATATATATTTTTTGAGACAGAGTCTCGTTCAGCTGCCCAGGTTGGAGTGCAATGGTGTGTTCTCAGCTCATTGCAACCTCCACTTCTCAAGTTTAAGTGATTCTCCTGCCTCAGCCTCCCGAGTAGCTGGGATTACAAACTTGCACACCACCACATCCAGCTAATTTTTTTTTGTATTTTTAGTAGAGACAGGGTTTCACCATGTTGGCGAGGCTGGTCTCGAACTCCTGACCTCAGATGATACGCCCACCTTGACCTCCCAAAATGCTGGGATTACAGGTGTGAGCCATTGCGCCAGGCCAGGATAATCTTTAAAAAAAAAATTACAGGCCTGGCGCGGTGGCTCACGCCTGTAATCCCAGCACTTTGCGAGGCCAAGGCGGGTGGATCACAAGGTCAAGAGATCGAGACCATCCTGGTCAACATGGTGAAACCCCGTCTCTACTAAAAATACAAAAAATCAGCTGGGCATGGTGGCACGTGCCTGTAATCCCAGCTACTCAGGAGGCTGAGGCAGGAGAATTGCCTGAACCCAGGAGGCGGAGGCTGCGGTGAGCCGAGATCGCGCGATTGCACTCCAGCCTGGGTAACGAGAGCGAAACTCTGTCTCAAAAAAAAAAAAAAAAA